CATGATTTTTTTTTGTAGAGGATAACTGATAAGCATACTATTCACAATTTTATTTAGTAAGTAAATATGTGCTATAAATACACATCTATCCAGAGACTAGAAAAACACTATGTTCATCATACAATATTTTCTTGTAGTGGGGTTCGAACTCACACCCTCTGGCATAAGAAGATTCATCATCCATTGGGCCATTGCTGTAGAGGCTTATTAAAGTATATTTATTAACGCCAATACTCTTAATGTATACTAAATACTTTAGATCATTTACGTTTAAATAAAAAAAAAACATCTAAAATAAGACGTATATTAGATGCTTAATGACATTGACATAAGATATGATATATTTTTTAGGTAAATTTATTATTCGATAGATCTGTTATTATTATTATTATAAAATTAATTATAAGTACCTTTGAAAATACTAGCCTAAGCGTCTTTGTTCGTTGTTTTAGTCTGACTTAGTTTACATAATTATGTAATACTTTGACTTACTATGTAATATTAGTTGTTCATGTAGATTACAAAAACATCATTGTTATTTATTATTGAGACAATATTAATCTTCTTTCTTGATTTAAATCATATTTATTGACTTTGATTTGAAATTTGAAGCCATCGTTTTGCCCGAAAGAGATGGAAGCCGTGTAGTGTAGACCTATTTTTTAGATGTTTTATCGTTTTAATTGTTGACTAATTATTTCACTAGAATTAACTTTATACGTTGATAGCATATTGGCTTATCTGTGTGGCCCAAATTTATTTTTAAACTAATAAAATAACTAAAACCCGCATCGGGTTGTGTATTACGCACCCGTTTACCTTTTAACGACTCAAATATGACTTGAGTCAATATGGAGCCGAGAGTTGCGCGCTCCTGCACGGTTGCTTATACCCATGTAAAAACCTAACGTCTAAGGCGCAAGGGGGGCGGCAGGGGGGTGGCTTTGCCCTCCGCGGCTCGTATACACACCTTCTCCGCGTCTGTGTGCGTCCAAAACGCCCTTGTGAGCTTATATTTTCATTTCAATAGTTTTTACGTTGCCCGCGTGTGCGTTAGGCGTTTGTGTGCGTTGATGCCGTATTGATTCCGACGCCGCGAAGTCGACAAGAAATATTATCTGTAAGACGGGTTCGATGGCTTTCGAATACTAAGCATTCCTACAGTTTATCGATGGTGATTATTTAATGTTCTAATATTCATTTTGACAATTTTATGATTTCGCCTGGGATTATATTTGTGTATTGGCATTGAGGTTAATTTATGAAATAATTTATGTAAAAATTATCGGGTTCATCAGTTTAAGCTTCAAAGCTTAATGGCTATGATTGGCCGAAACCAACTAGGCAGAATCAAAGGACATGGCGGAATCCAAAATGAGAAAAAAATATTGGGACCGTGTACGATTCTTAAATCACATAAACACATAAAATGCAAAAAATGCAAGCTTTATCATGTTGCGTCCACAGCAGCGACCGCGTAGTAAAGGAGCAATTAAAAATGTAATTAACAATTTTACATGTGTCGGCGCTGGGATTTGAACTTAGGTTGCTCGAGCGCAAATTAATTTAAGAGCGAGCGTGTCGGCACAACGCCGATGTGTCTGGTCTGTATTAAGTCGGTGAACAATTTTGATGACAATTTCAAATTCCCATATACAATATCATTCCGTATGCATTAGTGTATGCCAAATATTTAAAGTAACTGGTACGTACTCAACATTTTTCTTTTAATCTTAGCAATATAATCTCTATCTCACCGTATATGTTATAAACAAGTTCAAACATATAATGTTATTAATGTACCCACATGATATTTTTCAATGAAACTACTTTATGAAGTTTAACGGACTGCCGGTAAGATAGTTTTTTTAATTACTTCAAATATTTCTGTCATTTTCTCATTTAATACCTATGTCGTAATACTATGGACCATTATTTAAACAATTGTAATTTACAACTTCAGTTCATATTTATAAGTATAAGTAATTTACAAATTTATAGTACAAATGACAAACACAAAAGGATAGAGTAAAGGGGGAAAATGTTAGGTTATTTTTTTATTCCTTCCCAACAATTATTGTGACGAAACTATAGATAATATGAATATACAGGCTAGTAATAAATATAGAACAGCACTCACTAGTTGCATAATAATATTTATTACTTTAAATATAAATAAAAAAAATTATGTGGTACACTCTATGGCTAGTAACAGAATATGTCGTGCCTCGCTAAAGAATAAAATAAAATAGTGGGAATAATGACATGTTATAAGTTTTCATGAATGAACTTACGAAATGAATAAAGATATTTTCATTCTTTTACGCTGTCATATTATCATTTTTATTAATCTAACAGTGCTTATACTTATAACATGAATTTTAATTTTTATTACACCATGAAATGATAAAATTCCTGATTATAAAATACAGACTGAACATTGAAAACTAGTAATGTAACTTAGGAAATTAATAAAGATATTTTCATTCGTTACGCTGTAATTTATTATATTTTTTTATTCTAATAGTTATTATACTTATGACGTGAATTTTAATTTTTATTATAGCATGAAATGATACAATTACAGATTATAAAATACAGGCTGTAAAGAGTCAGAATTATTGAGAAGCATGCGCGCCAAAATGTTGACGATCCCCGCGCTCGGCGTTCGCCGGCTCTAGTTTGAAAAAGCGACCGTCTAAGGAGGCGAGGCGCGGCGGGGGCGCCATATTTTAAGATGGCTTCCGTGCGCGAATATCGACGCGGCGACGCCCGCCCGCGGCCTCTGCCGCAATTCCTCCCTCAACGATCCGCACGCTCGCGTGGATTTTTTGCCCGTGGAATGCTACGAATGCCTCGACGATTTTTTTTTTAAATTAAACATTTTCAAACAGTTCCAAATTCAAATTGCGATTATTCGAAATCACAATTCGCGAGTTTTTTGAGAATGATTTTGTTATTAGCACGTACTTAATTCTGTTTTATGAGTCGTCTGATAAAAAGGTGTTAGTCTTATGGAACAACATTTACAGTTAAGGATAATGCACTAAATGATAATTAATTTGTCGGGCAGATTTGTTATTCTTTATTTGAAAAGTTGCCAAATGATCAGGCGGTTCACCTGATGTTAAGTGATTACTGCTGCTTAAATAGGTACAGTGCGCTCGGGTTATCCTACACTCAAAACATAAATATTATTATATTTCTACTTCTCGCTGGCTGTGATATTTTCCCGTACCAGCTAGATTTAGAAGTTGTGTGGCCCTGATATATTCACTTGCCTTTATTTATTTTATATGTAACTATTCATTCGTAATTTTGATTTAATTTTCAAATGTTTTGTAGTTGAAATATAAGTCTGACTGATTTTCTTTATTCTATTCCTATTTCGAACCTTTACTCGAAAATCGTCGAATGCAAGGGCTTCTATGTAAACGAACGCGAATAAATTTTAGAAATTTGAAAAAAGTGTCTTATCTATAATACTTTGGTTATACACAAATTGAAAGAAACGAAAGTTGTTATTCTTGTTAGATATTTCTTGCGGTTCACACACCCTATTTTTAACAGATAACACAGGTTCCGTAGCCGTATTTAGTTAAAAGTTGAAAGTTATCTATAGCCATTGCTTCGTAACTGTAAACCAATGAAGATATTTTATGAGATTAGCCGCACCCTTGTAAGTAGGTACTCCGATATCACTTTATAAAGCTTGTGAGAACAAATAAAGAGCAGTTCAGCCAATTCAGTCAGTTCAGTAAGTTCTAACTTATCATCACTATAAAGCGGTTGTCCCTTGTATATAAATCTTTCTTAAAAGACTATTTATTGAAGGAGCCCAACTTATAGCGCATAAATAAACAAAATTTAAAGAAAAACCATCAATCTTTTGATTATGGCTTTTGTGCTTATACGGTTAAAGATTAAATAATAATCTTTTATAATCAAATTAAATAAATTTACTTGTTGTTGGCTTGATCAAGATGTTTTTGTCTCTCTCCATTAAAAAAAACTGCCAAACATTACGTAATGGAGTTATAACCTGTGAAAAAATGTTTTCCATGATTCACTGGAGTTTCTTTATGATTAAATCGCGCTAGTATAAAAGATTAACAATGATGCAAACGTCAAATTTAAAAATCCATTTTTTAATTCTGTTATTGAAAGGACTCATTCAATCGATGCATCTTTGCCAACGCAGTGGTAGTTTACTGATGCCCTTCTTGTAAAAATCAGCTGGACGGTTGGTAACAAACTGTTCAGAGTCTCAAAAATAGAAATATGAATAGATGACAGGCTAACTTGAAAGGGGCAAATTGAACATGTCAGAGCAAAACTAGTACTAATACTGGGTGCACTGAGAATAGTCTCAAACTGCTTTCTAATTATAAAATGTTAGTAAAATTTAACATTGAAGATATAGATAACAAAAGTCAGGGGATGGGTAACGGTGGTAGGGCCACGCAGCAGCCTCGGCTGTTGCACGAATGGGCAGGCCCGTCCGGGTAAGTACCGCGACCTCACATAAGACCAGCGTAAAGTGGAAGTATGACAAATACTTTCGCGTTTCGTCTGGTGAGTGAGGTAGCCGGAGCCCAGTTTTCAAAAGGTTGTCAACGCATCTGTAACCTTTGGATGTAGCAGACGTCCATGGGCGGCGGTATTCACTTGACATCAGGTGACCCGTCTGCTCGTTTGGCAACTTTTCGCATAAAAAAAAAATCTGCCGCTAAAATAAAAATTTTTGGTAATTTTTGGAAATTTTTGGTTTATCCAATATTTGCTAAAATATTTCCTATGAAAACTAAAAATTCCATGTAAATAATTATTACCTGAGAGAAAAATAATATAAATTAAATTTATTATTAGTACATATTTTATTTATATTAAATAATTTAAAATTAACATTTTTAACTCTAGAATAAGGTACATGATTACGACTATTAATAATTAAATTATCTCAAAATTAAATTATGTAATTATTAAACATTTCAAACCTATTTCCCAGTCATCTTTGCTTGTCGCTGCTTCTTGTTAACCGGGCCACTTCTTTGAATACCGCTTTCCAGTAACTGGTTGATCAGCTTCAATTCCTCGCAAACCACTGGCAAATTGTTGCCCTCTATAGATACGTACACCAAACCGCACGGTTTTCTGTCAACTTGTCTTTGGTATGAAAGGACGTTGAGCAGTTTGTTCAAAAGTAAGTAGCTCAAATCGTTGTAAGCTAAACTCAAATAGCACAGGGTGTTGTTGCCGAGACAGTACAAAACCTCGTCCTTGACAATGGTGTGCTTCGAGGAGAACGGATCAGTAAAATCACCCAACGTTGTCTGGACTATAGTGAGGACCTTATCGAGGAGGTTTGGATCTGAGCAGTTCAAGTTGACCGCGTCTCGCACAGACTGAAAAGAGCCATCTCTATCCGACGCCTTTGTTTTTCTCCTTACGCTAGTCGGTGTTGAACGAGCAGTCTTCCTCTTCGCCGTCTTCTCCGAGTCCCCCTCTTTTATCTCCTTCATTTTGCTCGTTATCAAATCGTTCCTCCTTCTCAAATATGATATGTATCGCGATTTGGATGCCAACACTTCATTAGGTGTCATGCAAAACTCTTGCAAGCTATTCAAGATTTCTATGGCCCCGTTGTCCGTTATCCAATTATCGGATAAATTTAAATATGTCAGGCAACGGTTGGACCGTAGTGCATTTCCAATGGATTTTGCACCGATATCAGTGATTCTGTTTGAGGTTAAATTTAATATTGATAAAGATTTGGAAGCAGGCAAAGGATGAATTAGCTTTCCGGCTATCTTATCGATATCTTCATCAATAATATGGCATCTGCATAGGGATAACTGCCGTAACGATTCGTGATCTAGTAAAATTTCATAGTTTGCTCCATTAACTGGACAATCGTCAAGACAAACATCAGTTATGTTGGATAGAGATAACATCTTTCCTAGCTCGTATACCGTGTATACATCTGCCCCCCGATCTATCATTATACTGTTTAATTGAGGATAGAATTTGATAATCATAGCAATGGTTTTGAGTAGAATGCGCGGTATATATTTGTTATTGTTGAATACGATTTGAACAAGATCTTCATTGGTATCGTACACTGCGGTAATATTAACCGCTCCATCATATTGAATAGCTTGTTGGGTTTTATTGACATCCCTATCAGACGTTGTATCTGCACGAGACCTAATAGGCCTCGTTTTACTTTTACTCTTACTGCGGTCGCTTGATGACCCCACATACTCACCTGTAATATATATTTCATTAAATATTTTATTATTTCCAAAGTTGTTTGCGTTGTATAAAAGTATGGGATTATGCCCGCTAGGCCGTTCCGTCACCGACCAGCAGTCACGTACCATGCGTTAACAATTTTGCTGGTGCCAAAAACGCTTGTATATTTATATAATTATATCATTGTCAACTTTTTACTAGCTATCATATCACAATAAGTAAAATTTTCTCAACAAAAGAAGTCACTCGCACTGTTGCAGATCTAAAACAGGTGCATACGATAAACGTGACTACGGGAACCGTACATATTCCTGCGGATACACACGTGGATGATACGGAGATGATATGCGGAGGCCCCCCTCACAAAAGCAGTACGCACGGATATTACAATTCATTGATACGCTCGATTAGCGGGTAATAGTAGTAGAACGTGTCGCGTTGCTTTCCGATCACGATACGTTCATAGCACGGTCATGGTATGGTATGGTACAGTGTGCAGACTGTGCATGTGTGTCTTTAATGATATATCATTTTCAGTATGTATTAAAAGCTTAGGTATTATACTGTTTTTAAGGTTTCGTACCCAAAAGGCAAAACGGACCCAATTACTAAGACTCCGCAGTCTGTCTTTCTCTCTGTCTCTGTCCGTCTGTCACCAGGCTGTATCTCATGAACCGTGAGAGTTAGATGGTGGAAATTTTCACAGATGATGTATTTCTGTTGCCACTATGACAATAAATACTAAAAACGCGAGGCGGTTGCTAGGTACCAATCAGTTTATTATAGACAATGGTACAGAACCCTCCGTGCGCGAGTCCGACTCGCACTTGGCCGGTTTTATTAAAGTTTTTATTTTATACTTACTTTGATAGGTCTTGGTTACCACAACAGTGTGTTCCAATTCAAGCTGATTGCAAGCCCAGGGTAAGTAAACAACGAAGTCGTTTGGATGTGGTCTAGTGTTTACCGCAGTTGTTTCTTCCAATACACTCGTTTTTTCCGCCTTATCCATTACGTTCCTAATATCCGATTCTTAATATGTTACTCTATATCTGTATAATAATTATGTAAATATTATCTTCTTTTTATTAATGGTTTATTTTATGAGCTATCACAATTTCACCAATGTCAAGTTGTTCTTAAAATTCTCTTGTTCTTCTTCTTCTAAGGCAGTTGGCGGTCCATATGATATCGCCAATGACACAATTGTGATAAAGAAACAAATGGTTTCAAATATCTAAGAATATTAAAATTCTCAATTTTATAATCATAAAAATTATCAAACTAACGTATAATCAAAAACAATTCATGTGTCAATGTATGATATTGGTTTGATTTTAAGCCGCGTTTATTTTTCATTTTTCAAAGAGTTTCTTATAGTTTTGAGGTTTTTAAATGTACAGTTTTAAGAGTTTAAAGAGTAAATATGTGGCTGACACAATATACGAATCATTTTAAATCTAATCCGTTCTTAGAAAAATAAATAAAAATGAATTTATCCCAAATGCAGTTAAAAAAAAATTTATTTATTTTTCTTAGAATGTTCCACACATTTTATATACAACAATACAAAATATTTTTACCCAAATGCTGTTAGTTTACAATTAATTTAGACAGGAAGAATTTCTAAAATACTTTAATAAAACAATGTGTATTTAGTATTTACGTAAATATTTGAGTATTTAAATTTAAATGTGCTGTAGCCATGCAATATGTATTATTGTTGTCTGAAAGGGTTGGCTTAATCGGCGAAGTAAACCCGTGGAATCGTAGCCTTTCTACGGTGATAAAAGGTTGTTATAAATATTGTAAAATAAAATAAATAAAATGTATTTATGTATGATATTTTTCATTCTTTGAATTTTTTATGTCTGATCTTTAGATCTCTTAACGATTGAAAACGAGAAAATGTAACCAGGGAAACGTACACCATACCTTTACAGAATAACGTTCTACAGCAGTCATACCTTTGCCTTTTTCCGATGACCATCCTTAACACTTCACATTTTTTGTTAGGGCATTTACAATTAATGAACTTACTCTGACGGATCTGCTGACTATACCGTACCATACTATGATCGTACTATGAACGTATCAGGATCGGAATACGACAGCCCTGTACTCCCGGGCTCATAGAACAGGGCTAAGGTATCCCCTAACTGTCGTAAAAGGGGACACGGATGGGCAGCAGCACGAAGTGGTCTCGTGCTGCTGCAAGAGGGTGAGGGAATCGGAGAAGGTCTGTGCTGACGTACAGCCGGTCAAACAGAAAAATGTTTGTCTTTGCGTATGTTTAGACCGAGGACGGCTTGTCGTAAAATGCTCATCGATAAAGCATGTAAGTAATAAAAAAATCGCGTTAGGGCTTGTTCAAGCAGTGATCGCTATGATGATCGGAGTATCTCTGGCGTATATGATCCAAAATGTGGTGATCTAATAGTATACCAAAGTGATTGACATATTTATTTATTTATTTATTTAAAAAGGACATGCATTAAACAAACAAGTAAGATATACACAAAAATCCTGATCTATGTACATGATTAGGTGAAACAGCAGATACTGGAATGAACAAAAATAATAAATGTAACAATATTTAAAAATAAGTTAATTTAAGAATAAAATTAATAAATAAAGAAAACAAACATAAATGTACATTAAAAATACAGAATGAATTACAACAATCTAAATTAAAACTAAAATGGTTAGGAATTAAAATATTCAAAGACGTGACTCGAAATTAGGCATCTCATCTTCATAAGATACCTAATTTCGAGTGAAATCTAGTGACTAAAATGGAATAGTACTAATATATATACGGGGTATTTATAGAGGCAAGTAAGCTGAAATTGCTTAATATTTTATCATGAAACGAAAAGAACATTTTCTTAGTTCATCACGCTCTACCATAGTAAAGACATGGAATGTCAGCGATTGAACTGATATAGTTTTGATATTAAATAGTATGTACCATATTTATGGGGTTTGCAAACTCGAACTCGTCAAATCTCTCCTATATCAAGATTTTGGATAATCTGAAGGAAAAAAGAAATTGTAACTCGATAAAAGTAGCTCACAACAAAATCAAAGATAAATAAATAACAATAAAAATTGTATATTTACATAAAATGGGCTAAAAGTTTTTAGCAACTGCAAGTATTTAACTGTGTAGGGCCACGCAACAGTGTTCACTGTTGCACGAATGGGCAGGTCTGTCCGGGTAAGTAACACTACCTCACAGAAGACCGGCGTATAGTAGAAGGGTTACACTTCTGCGTTTCGTCTGGTGAGTGAGGTACCCGGGCCCACTTTATTTAAAGTTGGAAACGCTTATGCAACCCTACGGGTGTTGCAAATGTTCATGGGTGGCGGTTATCACTTAACACCTGGTGAGCCGTCAGCTCGTTTGTAACTTTATCACATAAAAAAAATTAAATATGCATCTTCCGGGATACACACCCGACGCTCCAGCCATTGAGCGAAATCTTCGCACTGACGAAAATCTCAGCATATTTTTTTTGTGGCAATCAACCGTTTAGCTTAGTGGCTAAAGCATCAGCGCGCGAATCCAGAAGTCATGGGTTCGATTCCCTCAGCGGCGAAAGACTTCGTACTTTTCCCACAAATTTTAATGTTTAATCTAAGTGCAGAGATTAGCAGTATAAACATTTAAATTTCTAAGTAGCAATGGCGACATCATAAAAGTTGAGACTTTCCTCGATGTGGCAATCGGCTGTTTAGTTTAGTGGCTAAAGCGTCAGGGCGCAAATCCTGAAAACGTGGGTTCGATTCGCACAGCGGCGAAAGACTTTTCGTACCTTTTTCTACAAATTTTAATGTTTTTTTAATTACTATTTAATCTATCTTTGGCGCCATCTAGTGTGTTTCCTTGACAGCAACGATCATTAATTTTTTCATACAACATTTTACAATGAAATATTTGAAAACTAGAGACGACACCTTTGCTACTGAATGTTTTAAACGATATTAGTTTAACTGAGCTAAACGCTTACATATTCCTCGCGGTGGCGAACAACCTTTTGTACATTTTTCTACATATTTTAAAATTTCATCTTAAGTGCGGAGAATAACGCTATAAAAATTAATGTATTTATAAATAATATCATTTGTAATACGCATACGAGTGTGAGGGGGCGCCGAGTGTGTTGTACCGAAAGAGTAGGTACGTATTATATTTTAATACATTATCTTACGGTACGTGGAGCAAATAGGGCCGCGGTGAGGCTGGGATGAGATTCAAGATGGCGTTCCTTTGAACACTTCTTAGAAGTTGCGCGGCGAAGGCTGAAGTTGATATTATGGAGAAGGCTCCATTTGTTTCATAACCTTTTATTACCAAATATATTCAGCTTTAAGAGGCCGAAATTTAGACAAATAACGGCTTAAGGCCAAGTGTATAAAAAGCTTTTATGATGTAAGTAGAACTAATGAATGCCATAAAATATAAATTTTTAATTAAATAACGCTAATAGGCCATGAAATTTTATCAGAAATTTTGGGATCTTCATGAAACGCTCATTTCTTGTTAAGTGAGTACCTTACATTTACGATTAAACACATCAAAAGGGCCTTCAGAGCTATAGTTGTTGTGCAAATCTTAAAAAGATTGCGATCCGGCTACCTCACTCACACTCTACCACAATAAACGAATACTATGAAATGCAGAATAGATATGTTATGTACTGTTGGTTATCACATTTACGAAACGTTAAAGGTATAATCATTTTAGATCAGGCCAGTCTTCTGTATGGCTACACTTCGCTCATCGAGTTACCCTATTTAATGTTAATAGTTGTTGCTCTACCGCGCTAATCGAATATTATATAATGTACATTTTTATTAACACGACACAGCACAGACAATTTCAAAAATAATATTTATAAAATTCGTCCAAAAACGACCGAGTTCTTATGTAACAAAAAATACAACCGAACTGAGAACCCCTTTTTTGCAGTCGGCTGAGAACAACAGTAAACACGAAAACCCTTTCCATATTTCAAAACCGGCAAGGAGTTATAATATCGCTAGTAGTCTTCGCGGGGGTTTCCTCGAATGGGGTTGGGTGGGGCGCGGGGGTGGCTGCGTGATAACTCTCTACTACGCCACTTATTTACATAATTACATATAATTCGTGTTGCGTTAGTTACGATCATATAAGAACGTCTCCCGCGCGATATAAGACGCGAGTTCATGAAAGACGTTATGTATATATGGTAACGGTAGTGATGTATTGATAACATGAATTCGGATTTTTTTTATTTTATAACCGAATTGTAACAGTTTTGAATATGATAATAATAAGTATACTGTTATCAATAGCTGTTATCCATAATGAGATTGATATAATTGCGTAGATTTCGAGTTATATTCCAAATGATAGTTCCAATAAAATACTATTTTCTTGTTCAGAATGGTTGTAATAAAAACCGATACTGCATAAGTTTACATTTTAAATTTATTAATGTTTTTTTAAGTACTGAGTATAATTATATTTGTTAATCTGTATGCTAGTTATATCCTATTTAAAAGAATACCGATATTAGATTATCATATGACGCTCCATCGAGACACTTTAATATCGCGCACACGGAGCCGCGCTCCCGGCGGAACAAGATGCGATTACGGAACACCTAATATCGGAATGCAGGAACATCTAATATCAGAATCACGGAACTTGTTCCGCCACGCGCCGCGTGCACGGAATGCGGCCGCCCGCAATCCGCGGCGCACGTACCCGCCTCGTTCGGCTTTCAATCTAACTTTGCTCCTTGCTTTGCTTTCTTGGCATCTAGGGCTGGCCCAATGAGATGAAACATTATCCACCTTCACCATTTAATTTATTTAGGTTACACGTTACGTATTTATTCCTGTTGCCTTCGTCGCGTCACCAAATCTACTATAATCGCACCTAATTTTCTAAATCACACATGTCTTTCCAAAATTTTCGCGCTGGTCCAACTGTGGCAGGGCCTCGGTCGGGCATTGGTCTTCACTGTTGTAGGAATGGGCAGGTTCTCACAGAAGTCTCGTGCAAAGGAGAAGTGTTAGACTTCTGCGTTTCGTCTGCTGAGTGAGGCAGCCGGGGCCCACTTTATTAAAAGATGGCAACGCATCTGATACCTACGGGTATTGAAAATCTACGGGCGGCGGTTATCATTTAACATCAGGTGAACCGCCCGCACATGAGAAAAACTATGTTCATAATCTAAGGGCGCGGCACGATCCAAGGGCGCCTCAGATGTAGGTTCGAACCTCGGCTTAGAACGCAATCGACAAGGGGAAAGGTATCGGTGTTCGAGAAGGCGGAAAAGTTTATTGTGGTCGACAGCCCTAGCCCGTTCAAAGGCATTAAGCGAAGTACGTGTCTTTAGTAAAACTACGGCGGTCGAAGCGAGTGCCTGTTACCCAATAAATCTTATTAACGGTTTTACTAAAGATAATAAATGCAAACACCCGTCCGAGCTTAAACACGGATAGAGTTTCAGCTTCGAACGTTATGAAATTATGAGTTTTATTAGAGTAAAAACACTATTGAGACTTCATAGTAATGAGATAAGGAGTAATGTGGAACGGAGGCAGAGTTTAGTTTTAAAAATATATTATGTGTTAAATATTATGTGTTAAAAATGTTTACTATAAATATTAATTTTTCACATTGATTTCTAATCCTAGCTTATAAATGTATGCTTCCACATAAATATGAGAGACTTTAGTCTAAAGGGACTAGAAAGAGAAGCTTAGTTTCTAAGTTTAAAGTTTTAGTTTGGAACTAATACAATAAATTTTGTAATCATCCATCAGCTAACTATTCTTTAATATTGTCAAATCTCTTAAAATGTTATAAGTTTCAAACAAATTCCATAGCTTACCAATGAATCGAATAATTCTCAAAATATATACAAGTGGTAAAATGAATTGTATTATTAAATTTATACATCCATTCATAGTTACGGGAGTCTGTAAAATAATACGTTGTAATGAAATATATACATTTAACAAAGCGTGATATTAATGTAAATGGTATAAATATTTATTTCCATTACAAAAAAAATCCAAACGCCGATTCTAAACCAAATTAGAGGTTTAATATTGTTGTTTATACCTTGAAAATGATACATCTAACATTTAAAAAAGAATCATTATCATTATTATCATCATCACCATCATCATCATTTCAGCCTTTTTGAGTCCACTGCTGAACATAGGCCTCCCCCACAAACTGCCAGTACGATCCCGAGCCATCTGCATCCATTTACTTCCCGAAAAGAATCATTTAAAAGAACATGTATTCATTTATTTGTTTAAGGCCAAGCCTTGTACAAAGGCAACTAAAAAGTGGTCTTAGTAATGCTAGATACAACCCCACTTCCAAATACCATCTAAATAAATAATGATGGTCTCCAGTGGTGCGTGCATTACGGAAAAAGTACTGGATAGATTTTTATTAAATCTTCTAAAGTTTATTTCTTAGACACTAGACTCTTCATCGTCATCATGTTTACTAGCCGGTGGACTAACTGTTGATCAAATGCCTCCACCTTATTGTTTCAATCAATCAAATATCTTTATTCAAATAGACGCTAGTGCGTTCTTATGAATCGTCAAATTTTACATAAAAAATTATATGTATAGGTTCGTAATGTACCATGTCGTTAGTTCGTAAATTCGTTAGTATGCAATAACGAACGACAGTTTGTTATTTGCATCCATCCACTAAGCCCTTACCTAACAATATTTGTGATGTCTTTGTTTAGTGTAGTTATTAAATTTTTAACAAACGACGATTTTTATAAACACTACGTTTTGGATATGTTGCGGGTATCAGCTTTCTGTTTTTATTTCTGCGTTTGCAAATATAATGTACATATTGTTAATACGATAAGCAACGCAGACAAGTCGGGGGTATCAGCTAGTTAAATACAGCAAATGTAGTCGCGGAAGCATCGTCGGAAGGCACTGAAGAATTTATAATTCCGCTTCCCAAATACCGAAATATTCCGATATATAACGGCGGTACACAACGGCACATTATGTGTAGGAGGGGAGTTCGAACCATTGGAACGTGGCATTAACCACTACCTCACTCATTCGCCTTGGAAGCCGCGAAAATAGAGATGTATCGCGTCACCCTACTCCCCTCTCACCCCCACCCCCCACCCAATGGGGGAGGAGGGCCGGGTGCCACCTGAGACACCGCCAAGACGGCACTCAAAATTTCGCTTATATAACGTGGAATTAATTAGTTTTAGAAAGTGAAGTTTTAACCGTTATGTACCGAGTTAACGGGTATTAGATGTGTCGGGCTGCGATACCGATTTAATTGGTTTCAGCTCCCCCTTCACTGTTATCGCTTCGGTTGTTTTACGCGTTGTGACGTAGTACTTGAATTTTGCTGAAACTAGCAGGTTGAAAGTCTCATCAAGCTGAGAGAATCAGTCAGTCGTGGTTTTTCTAAGTCGGTTTAGAAAAAATAATTGGCAGCTTTTATATTTTTACGAGCATAGGTATATGACTTGTCACTGCTATATCATCCACTGCTGAGCCTTGTCTGTATATAGAGTATTAGGGTATAAATACCACACGACTCAACCGCGGATTGGATAATTTAGTTCGCGTTCTATGCGCGATTATTATCAGGACCAGGACTCAGATTTTCAAGTATACTAAATTAAAAGACGGTACAGACACTAAGCTATCACGGCTCTGTGTGTTTTGATTTATTATTGAATTTAAAATGTCAATTTAAATTCCTAATATGTTCAAGTTTCAGTGGGGTCCTAAGAAACTCTCTCCCGTAACCATGAATTATTAATTAATAAGTAATGTAGATGTAAATATCATCAGTAAGGTAAACACAGCTAGAGTATTTTTCAAATTTTCTTCCATTACTAGTGCCTCTGACACTTTTTAATAAGTTTAACAAATCTCAAACACAAACTCTCAAAAAACTCAAAGTCTTAATTTTGCTCCATAACCAGCCTAATTTGTCTATGAGTAGTAAAAAGTATGAAACATCATCATCATTTTAGCCTGGTAAATCAACTGCTGGACATGGGCCTCCTCTACAGACTGCCATGGAGCACGACCCTGAGTCAACTGCATCCGTCGACTTCCCGCATATTTGCACAGGTCGGCACTCCATCTAGTGGGGCAGTGTCCTACACTACAATGGCCAAATCGAGATCGCCACTCGGTAATCTTTCTTCCCCATCAGTTATCGGTTCTACGGGGATATGGCCGGGCTAGGTTACCTTGGTTCTATTGGGTATATCAGCATAACTCACATGTGAGCTACGTCGCTTACATACGAGGGATAAATTTCCTTGATGGAACGCGAGTAACATAATTCTTCTTTTTCTGGTCTTATTTAATTAAAAATACATGGGTATTTTTTTCTGTCAAGAGTATGACTAGACATAAAATTTAATATCACGCCGATAAAGAAAATGTTGACGTGGATAAGATACACTGATATAACGATATTAGGGCTACGCAAAATCTTCATTGTTACACGAATGGATAGGTCCATCCGGGTAAGTATCACGACCTAACAGAAGACCGGCGGTTATATTTTAATGAGCATGAGCATTTAAGAGCCGTGATAGCTCAGTGTCCGGGCGCTCGCCTTTAATTCAATATACTCGAGCAACCTGAGTTCGATCCCCGGCCTTCGACCAATGAAGTTTTTAACTTTAAGTGCTGACTAATCACGTGCTCCGTGGTGAAGGAAAACACCGTGAGGAAACCTGCATAAATTCGAAATAATAACAAAAAATATATATTTCGAAGATATTTGAAGTCCGTCAATCCGCAGTGGGGCCGCGTGGTGGACTATGCCCTGATACCCTGTGTATAGAGGAGGCCTTTGCCCAGCAGTGGGAATATATAAGCTGTTACTTTACTTATTTTTTTAATCGTTTAATATCAGTGACCCGCTTGCCACCTTCTCATATAAAAAATATAAATTTTTACCTACGTCATTTTAAAATGACAGTTGAGTGACGGTAATTTTGAGTGTATAATTATGTACATATCTTCTTATCTTCGTCTGGTGTCAGCCCTCAATAAACATACCCTTAAGAAGCTCCGACAACTATAATAATTTTAATGGAATCTTGTTAATCCTGGGGGGATGTTAATAAGAGGGGTGCGAGGGTGTACGCAGCCTAGTTGCTGCCGCGTATAAAATTATGTTCATCGCATATTGTGCTGTTTGGTGGTTGGCATCCGCGAACCTTATGTATACAATCCTTTCAGTTTAGGTAGATACGTAGGTTGGGTTGGTAGGTCTGAACTCAAAAGAGGACAGACAGATACGGAGATCAATTAGTAATATACAGTGGTGGTAGTTACGAAATATCAAGCGAGCTGTCAGCTGATTTGTCAAATTTTCGGCAAAATAATAACCATCCTTAAGTTTTTTCCGAGGTGAGCATGAAGCATTTGAACAATCGGGAGATAGGGGTGAAATTGAATTTAACTGAGATTAATCTCAGTATAGTATTACGTCATTATTTTTTTTTAATTTATCGGTTGACACCAGGCCTACATACATTTTACATTTAAATTACAGTTCCAATTCCGAACCGGTGCGGTGGTAGCGTCTTGGAAATCAATAAGTAAGTGTAATGCTTCGATATTGAATAAACGTATTTGATTTGGAAAAAAAAAAGCTGAGTTTCTTTCGCCGGTTCTTCTCAGGCCAGTGGCTTTTCTTTCCGAACCGGTGTGGTAGCGTCTCGACAATCAATAAAGTAGTATTTGATTTGATTTGATTTGAAATTAATTTCTGGTGCAATCGCA